GATGATTCATTGCAAAATTTATACCTTTCAGACTGTTCGCACGAATGGGGGGGAAGGGGGATACAGGGTGTCTCTCGCACTGCCACCTAACGTCTTCTTGTTACTTGCGGTAGGGTGTTGCGCATGAAATTCGAACGAACATGATGAAGCTACAAGCTATTGTACAAAGTTACAGTTTGGACTGAAACATCTCAGTTGATTTCATAGCGGATTAGTTTCCCCCTTCTAAACTGAGGGATTCAGGCCGAGCTAACTTCAACTGCGGGCGCTGTAATTCCGTCATAAGTCTCTTGAAATTCAGAGACGGGTGCAAGGTACTCGACATCTCTGCGGTGAGATGTTGGATCCAATCCTCTTTCAGTTTTGGGTCATCTGGAAAGCTAATTTTTTTAACTTGTGTTCGAGCCACCGTTTTAGTAGTCCAATTGAGTAGGCTTCGTACAGAAATCCGGAAGCCATTATCGGAAATGTGAATTACTCGGAAAGGCAAAGACCACCGAGGAACCAATTTTTCTGAATTCCGACTTAAAACTGAGTTGTGGTAAATCTCACTCGGGTTCAGAGCAACAAGTACTAGGTCGTTAAGCTCAAGTTTCTCGTTTAGATCTGGAGTTTGTTTGCATGAGAAGTTGTGTAACACCTCTAGATTTGAGAGAATGTCCATGCGAATTTCGTTGAGGGCAACGAGACGATCGACAGATCCATCACCATGTAGCCGATAGTCTTGCGAGTAGGGGGAAATCGGGTCTCGACCATAAACTAGAAACGCGGGGGAATGACCAGTAGCAGAATGAATGCTAGCCCGATAACCAAATAATGCAAATGATAACGCATCTTGAACACTGAATTGCAGATTTTTCATTTGGTAGAACTTGAATGCTTTGTTTAAGGTCTTGTGAAAAGCTTCCACCAAAGCATTTCCTTGAGGGCGATATGGGAGGGTGTGGACATGGCTACATTGCAGATCTGTGGCCAAATTTTCGATAACTTCAGCAGTGAACGATAACGCATTGTCGGAAACTAAGCGCAAGGGAATTCCGAAACGACAGATCCAGTGGCTAAGTAAAATGGATGCTGTACCCGTGGCAGTCTTGTCCGGAACTATAGAGGCTTCTACCCATTTTGTAAATGAATCAATCATTGTTAACACGGTGAAGGTTTCACCACGAAATTTACAACTCCAATGGTCGAAATGTAATATAGCAAATGCTCCTTGAAGCGGATTGTGTCTTGTGAATGGCTTTCTGGTAGAGGGAAGATCACGCAATCGTTGGCAGGTGAGGCAATTAGACACAAAATTGGTGACATCTTGATGTAGATTTGGCCAATTGAAAATACGCAGAATTGTCGATTTGGTACGCTTGATACCTGGATGTATATACGGTGGGAGCAAATGACATTCGGATATGATTGTAGAGCGTAATTCAAATGGAACGTACACTCCCCCTCGGTAGTAAACAACGTCGTCAACCACATGGATTCCTCGATTAATGGGTTTGGAAACACGACCTTGACATTTTAAGACCCTTTTAAGAGTCACCTGTAACTCGTTTTCTTGGGCGAGTTCGATCTTATAACACATGAAATCTTGTACTGGATCTGGGTCATATACGTGGCGAGAAAGGTAATCCGCTGTATAATTTTCAGCCCCCTTCCGATACCGTATCTCGAGATCATATTCGCTTAACAAGACAGCCCAGCGAGCAAGCTTACCATTCTTTGCGTCCATTAACCATTTAAGACTTTGATGGTCCGTCAGTACTGTAACATGTCGTGATTTAATGTAGTAGTCCAATTTTTGTAAACAGTAAATGATTGCAAATGCTTCTTTCTCTCGAATGGGCCAATTTTGTTCCGTAGTATTTAACTTGCGACTAATATAATGAACTGGTAACCATTCATTGGCTCGAGAAAGTTTCAATACGCCTCCGATCGCATAGCTTGAAGCATCTACTTCCAACAGATATTTATCGGCGTCCAACGGTTGTGTTAAAACAGCATCGATTACAAGTTCCTTAAGTCTGTTTAACGCATCTTCACATTGTGACGTCCATTTGATCATGACTATCTTCTTCTTTCTATTAGGTGTACCTTTTAATAGATCGGTAATTGGTGCCACGATTCCAGAGTAGTCCGGAATAAAAGATTGTAAGAATCCGGTCAGGCCAAGGAGGGAACGAACTCCTTGTGTCGTGGTTGGAGCTTGAAGGCGTTGAATTGCCTCAATCTTCTTGGGATTAGGACGGATAGTTCCTTCCTCGATTATGTGACCCAGGTACAACAGCGTAGTTGGCAGGAATTGACATTTTTCCAAATTGATGGTATAACCAGCTCTCAACAGCCTCTCGAAAACTTCATCAACTAACTGGAGTAGTTCTTGCAGAGTTGGGGCATGAATCAGTATATCATCCAAATAAACTAGAACTCCTGAATAACGTAAATCATCTAGTAAGAAATTCATGCTTCGTTGAAATGTGGCCGGCGCGTTTGTTAATCCGAAAGGCATGACCTTAAATTCATATAGACCAGTAGAAGTGCGAAACGCGGTGTATTGGATGGAGTTATCCGCCATCGGTATTTGCCAATATCCACTGCGTAAGTCTAGAGCTACAAAGAACTTTGAATCCTTAAGGGAACGAATAAGTTCGGAAAGTTTCGGAAGTGGATATTTGTCGGTTATGGTAAACTTGTTTAAGGGACGGTAATCTATACACATACGCCAGTCTCCGGTTTTTTTTAGAATCATGACAATCTCTGAAGCATACGGGCTAGCAGAAGGACGGATTACCTCATCTGTAAGCATTTTGTTTACTTCTGTCAAGATTTCCTTATTTTGGTCGGTGGTACGGGGTCTCGGTCTGCTGACGATGGGGCGAGTGGTAGTTAAGAGGATCTCATGCTTAATGGTGGCCACGACACCTCTCTTCTTATTCTTCCATAGGTCAGTATACTTGAGCAACAATTGGGTCATTGCCCCTCGTGATGAAATGTCGAGAACATGTCGAAGAACATCCGATACGATTTGATCCTCTTCAGAACATAACTCAAGCTTTTGGATTGTTCGAACTGAAATTTTGGAG